AACTGAGTGTTTAATAGAGGGCTAGGGTTTTAATGGATTAATTAATCATTTATCCAGACTTGCCATTCATTAGTTTATGGTACTTTTCAGTTTCATTCACTGGTCGAATCTCAGCCCAGGAGTTGTTCCTAGTCAACATCCTGGCTCTCCACTTGAGTCCTGATTTGTTGAACTTGAAATTCCAGATTGCTCATGATTTCTTGCATTTGTGAAAGTTGACCGTAGTAGTTGGTTACTTTCAGTTTTTGTCAAACTGAATCCAAAGGATTGTTCCTGAAGGGATAGAAAATAAAAGTGAAAGATGCTTTATTAAAAATTGCAGTGAAGGAAAACAGAACATAGTTTGTAATTTTAAAGAAACCGTTCTTGGCACTGTGTCTTCCTCTCTCTTCCTGTTCCTTTATTGTTTAACCTTAAACAGAGTTGCTTTTAGTTTTTACAATGAAGAGATGATTCCTTAGAGACATAAAATAGTTTGAGAAATCTGTGACCAGTCTTGTAACTGTCATATGTGGATAACAATTTGGACTCTCAGAACAACATGTTGCAACATTCTTCATAGAGCTGGTTGGGCCTGAAGCCTTAATTCCAGCGTGTGGAGAGTTTGATGTGGCTCAGCCGGCTTATTCCTGTTGGTACTTGTCAGCAGAAGCCAATGCATGCCCATTCAGTTCTTTGCTCTGAAGCCTTAGAGTGGAATAAAAGTACAAATACTTTGTACCAGCTAGGTATTCCATGATTTTTTTGGTGGCGATAGGCTTACCTTTTCATAAACCAGGCCTCAGCCTTTCTTGGCTTTGTTCTGTGAACACCTTTTACTGCCTCCTCACCTGGCCCTGTAGGGCAGTCAGGTCCACTCCTGGGACATACACTTCAACACGAGGTACCTTAACACGTCTCCCTTCATTTACTGATCCAAAATCAAATAATTTGAAATGTCACAGGTTACTTGGTTTTTGCATCTGGGATATGATCATGCAAATAGATTAAAAAGATAAAACTGGAAATGTAGATTTTAGAAATCATTGTTAAGGTTTAAAAAAATTTCCATGAGATTACAAAATTACCAGTGTTACCAGATTTAGTAAATAAAAATACAGAATGCCCAAGTAAATGTAAATTTCAGATAAACAATGAATACTTTTTTAGAGTAAGTATGTCCCATTGCAGTATTTGGGATGTATTTATAATAAAATATTATTCACTGTTTATTTGATGGAGATTTAATTAATTTAATGGAGTGTCCATTTATTTTGTTTGGCAACCCGATTACACAAATATTCAGGACCAATGTAAGATAATAATATTTTTCTAAGATAATAATATTTTTATATTTTACAAAGTATCTTAATATAAGTGATTCATTTGATCCTTACTGTCACCCTGAGAGGTAAGTTTTGCTGGGAAGTGGAGAGAGGGGCGTTGTTATTTTATTAAAAAATTTTTTTTTTAATGTTTATTTATTATTGAGAGACAGAGAGAGACAGAGCATGAGCATGGGAGGGGCAGAGAGAGGGGGAGACACAGAATCTGAAGCAGGCTCCAGACTCTGAGCTGTTTGCACAGAGCCCAATGCAGGGCTCAAACTCGCAAACCGTGAGATCATGACCTGAGCCGAGATCATGACCTGAGCCAAGATCATGATGCTTAACCAACTGAGCCACCCAGGAGCCCCTGTTGTTATTTTTTAACTAGCAAAAAATTGAGACTCAGAGAGTAACAACTCATCAAAGTCATGATGAACAAAGCACAAACCTGAATCCAAGACTTTTAACTCTTAGGCCAGTGGTCTTCATTAAAATTTTGAGACATTTACAGAATATTGAAAAAACACTGAGAATTAAGATCAGAAAGTTACAAATAATAATGTAAGAAATTCCATATTCCCACCACCTAGCATTGCTGACCCTTATTTTTCTTATTTGCTTCCAGTTGAGTGTGCTTTCTAGCACAATGCTTTATGATGCTGATCTTAGAAAGCATCATATTTAGTGAGGACCCCTCTCATGACCCAGGCCCCTGTTGGCCTTCCTGAAATCAGAGGGCTAGGCAGAGGGAACAAGGTGTGAAGAATCTTATAGACACCTTGACTTTACAGTCTGTGTTATTTTACCTGTGTTTTATGAAATGGAATCTTATAATGACACCCACCACTACCATATCTTCAAGTGCTGACATATTGAAGCTTTTGATTAACATTTCATGCACTTCCTAATTCTTCATGAGTCTCTCTCTGACCCCCCACCCTTGTCTCCTCCATGATTCTTTTGGAGGTGAGTCAGCTCCTCCATCAGGTTTCCATTTTCAACGCTAGATCAGTCTTGTTTGGGGACAACCCATCCAAAACTTCTCAGGCTGATGCTATACACCTCAACGCTCTGGTAATGGGAAACTCCATTGTGGTATGTGGACAAAGCACAATTAGAAGAACAAATACAACTTAGATAGTAATGGAATTCTCCTCATCTAGTGGTACTAGAACATTCCACATAGTGGAGGGTAAAGAGCACAACTCTGGAGTAAAGACCAGGGTTCCCATTGCACGTCCACCACTTTTAGCTGTCACCTTGGGGCAAATATTTGCTCTACACCTTAGTTTCCTCATTGTTAAAATAGGAATAGTGTGAGGATTAAGTGAACTGATGTGTGCAAAAGTGCTTAGCACAGGGCCTAGCACATCCTCGGTGTTGAGGAAATGGTAGGTCCAGTGTTCCTGAAGTCTTAAAAGATTGAAAATCTACCTTCTGCTCTTTGACCAAGAAGGGAACCAAATTCTCACTTTCAAATGCAGTACTGGGGACCTTCTGCACTTTTGTAAAAATGAGTCTCTGACCCATGATTTGAGAGTCCTATGCCATCTGTTAGATTTCCAAGAGCTGGGAGTTTTCAGATAGGTAGCCTATTACTGTTATTTATTATAATCTAAGTGTTTTAAAAGAGGTCATTATATTGGGCTATGTAATAATATGAAAGAATTATATTGTAAATTTTGTGGTAATTGCTTGTTAAATGTAATTAATGTGAATGGGCAAAAATATTTTCTTAACAATCAGTCCTTTATATGTTTTTTGGCTTAACTTGAGCTTGATGTCATCCACGGTAAGCCTGGAACTGTTGATCTGAAGCAGAGTGTTGACTTTTTCCAAAGTAATATTGGGTTGACCTTTGAGAGAGGAAAAGGAACCATATCATTCAACAAAATATATAGAGAGTGTTAGGTCAAGATTATATGCATCATAGGTTTCAATAATTATAAGTGTATGCCATCATAACTATATTTGTCTAAAGTATATAAACAGTAAGTTCAAACCTTTCTAGAATTGTTATAGAACTTTTCAGCTAAATATATTTTCTTTTACAACTTCTGAAATACAGAAAAATAAGTCAATGCTCTTTCAAATGAGTGTCATCAGGAAATTTTATATTTTTATGCACATTAGATATTTTTATGTTTATTTATTTAATTTTTTAAATGTTTATTTTTGAGACAGAGATAGACAGAGTACAAATAGGGGAGGGGCAGATAGAGAGGGAGACTGAATCTGAGCTGTCAATACAGAGCCTGATGTTGGGCTCAAACTGGTGAACCGTGGGATCGTGACCTGAGCTGAAGGCTGACGCTTAACTGACTGAGCCACCCAGGTGCCCCCAGATATTTTTATGTTTAAATTAAATGCATTAATTTATGTGATATAATGTATGTTATCCAGGAAAGAAAAGTTATTTATACGTAAGACAACTTATCTGAGTTTTTTTTTTTTTTTTTTTTTTTAAACG